GGGGGGAGGGGAGGGAAGGTGTAGCGCAAAATAAGAAGTCAACCCAAAGGTATATCAGCTTTTCTTTTTTACTTTTGTAGCTAAAGGAATGCATACCTGTGGCCTTTGAATTCGTTTCTGATTAGTCCGTCTCCATACTCGTCCAAAATCCGGGCTGATTCATTGTTGTAGGAGCCATCAGGATATGTCCTGTTGGCAAGTGATGCGTTACTGTAAAACTCACATCCTCGAACAGATCGGAGACCTGGGTACTTATTGGGGGGAAGCAATACGGATCCAAGGAAGACCCACGTGGTCAGCGCAGCACCGGTGAAAACACCAAAATAGGCACCCTGCAATTAATATTGAAATCGTTCACATCGTTTACCTGAGTTGCTGACACGATACTCAGTTAATTATGGCAAAGCGCTTCATTTCTAAACGCTAATTCTTTGAAATACTGTGTCATATTCCCTCTTGTACAATTTTCATACGCCGCTTAATTTTTCTTAGCGGTGAACTTAACGCGGCGCGCAATTTTGGCAAAGCTAGTGATTTTCATCCGTTGAGCGGGATGCTTTGCCGTACTTTTTTCCCTAATTTCTTGTAGTGCGCAGTTCTGTGCAGTGGGTGGAAGATGGGATTTACAACACTCAACTGAAGATTGCTCTATTAAGCAAGGCAAGCTTGCTGGTATTGTTTCCCAATCATGTTTACGTCCTGAGAGGTATAGTGTTAGCATTACCTTTGAGTTTGCGCGTGGAACAAACATCCCAAGGAGAAATATTCCCAGCAATGGACCACCACAGATTCCGAAGATGCTGTAAGCCAACTAGATTGAAATAGCATGGATATATAAACACAAATTCAAGTTTACATGAAGAGATTTACAAGAGACTCTCGATCTACAGCGAGTCAGTAAACAGATGACCTGGTTCAGGATCTCAGTTGTCAAGGAAAGAGCCCTGCACGATACCGGTTATTAAACAAAAAGTCGGCGATTTAAGACTCCGCAATACCAAAACATACCTGCAAAACCATGGTTCCCACATACTTCACGACGAAAGCGCCTCCAATAACGATCACACCAAATGTCAGAGCTGCAAAAAAGGGAAGCTTTGAGTCCAATTTCTATGAAACGGAATCACTCATCGCACTTCCAATTAACAAATAGATTCCGTGTTGCCATGTGTCTGTTCATTAATAGATCCCAGATGCAAAAAAGTGACACACACCATTCACACACCATTTTGATCTACTTCAGTAGAGAAGCACGACAACATGGAATACATTTGCTATACATAAAAAAAAAAGGCGAAATGTTGGTAATGGTGACGTCATTCATGTTTCTGTCCTCCAACAGATCAAAAGTAAGAACCAATGAAAAAGCTTATATATAAGTCAGCTTATGATATAAACGTAGATTAAACATATTCCGTAACTGTGTAGAGAACAACACCGTAAATAGCTAACCAATGATCTTGCACAGCTTGGCCGCATCAGAGTCAGTAATATCCGGGACTTTCTTTTTGACTACATCTTCCAAGCTGACCAGGGCCATGGCGTTCAGAGCCGAGGAAGCAGTGCTGTCGATCAAACGTATCACACTCAAGGTAAATCAAAGCAACCACCGTTAAGCTAAACTGCAAGAGCCACATCTTTTCAACTTACCACGCACGTCAAACGAAATCAGTGAAAATAAGTCTACGCGAGCTTTCGGAGTGAGGCGCACGTCACTAGCGGAAGAAGAGCAACTCTAGATAAAGCTGGGAAGTTTGAATCGCTGCATTGCGCAGTACTGCAAAATGCCCCTTACTCTCAATCGTGCATTAGTTCATATTTCATCTTAGCAATACCTGAGAGCTCCAGCGTAAAGGACGGCTGTAAACATTCCCGGCAGACCTTTCAAGTGTCCAAGCTTGTTTATCACAAAATACGGAAGAGTCTAGAGGGAAGTTAAAGACAAATTAATCACAGTTCATGAAATGAATTATCTGTTGACCCATGGAGAAAATACAAGTGAAGAAGTGATCCCAACTAGTATCTTGGAGGTGCAGATTCGAATGCCTGATTTTCTTTCTTTTTTTTTTTTTTTTTTTTTTTTTTTTTTTTTGTCAAGCTTTTTTACTTCGATTTCTTCGTTGCTGCTCATCGGCGAGGATCACTTCTTTACTTTGTTGATAATTAATTAATTAATCTAAGAATTATTCATCACCAGATTCGAAAATGTTCACTCGTAGGTAGCGATGTTAAAGGTTTTTTTACGAGAAGTTTACCTGGTCATTGCTTGTGATTTTCTTTTCTACTCGTAAATCACAGAAAGCGTAATTCGCAAAAATAACGAGTCCGTCAAAGAAACACAGAGTCACAATCAAGATCAATCCAGGAACATTCAGCCACACCGCTCTACAGGAAGAGAAACAGATTTTCAAATACAATGGAAACAAACCAATTTGAAAATGAATAATGAAGATAAATAAATAGATAAACGAATGAATAAACATGTCGTCAGTGAAGAGAATGGATGGATGGATGAATGGAAGAGGAGCGCTTTTCGATTGAGCTTTGTAAAACCAAAACCAAAGAACAGACGATTACCACGGCCGATCAGAAGAAAGGGAAATACCCTGAGCAGCTAATGAGAACTCAAAGCAGACACAAGCAAACTGCCCGAAGCGCGGGAAAATGCAGGCGACCAAGTCGCGGTTGATGTTAGATCTGCATCTGATTGGTTGAGAAAGTGGAGCGAGTTTTCTGGACCAATCACAGGGCAAAGGAAAGCAAAACTAATGAAAGCTCGGTTTACTTTCGACACTGCATTGAACATTGCTCTAAATAAACAAGTTTAGTATCACTCATAATTTTTGTTACACCTATAGAAAGACATTTCAGACATTTCAGCCCGTTGATGTACTTGTTACTCAGTAAACATCAAAGCATGATGACATGAAAATTGTGAGAGAATCTGTTGCGAATTAGAAAGCGTTTTTCATTATTTTTAGTTCTTCCAATTTCTTTGTTTTCCTTGAAAAGTATAATTGAGGTCACGCATGTCAAATGACAATTACGTGTCGTCACGTTTTAGCTGTCACGTGTCGTTCGTGGAAATGGAAAATGGAGGAGGAACAATCAGAAAATTTGAGCGTTAGAGTTCGTTTAAAGAACCCAAATAGAGCGAGATGGGGACCTCTCTTAAAAAGCTAAGCTTAAAAGCGAAAGGTAGGCTGTAGAGAGAATATAGCTCATGTTCTTCGGATACCAGGAAACAAAATTTTAGTAGCCAGACCTGGCAAGACTTTTCCAATTATTATCGACGGAGAGCTAGAGTGCTTGTGAAGATGCTGGCGTGCTATACTGTTAGGAGTTTTTCTGTTTTTTTTTTTTTTTTTAAGTCTTTTTCGCAGTTCAATGCCATCGGCAAGCAAATTAAAGTCGTTTTCCCTACCAAAATAATATTATAATTATGGAACCCAATATTTGTATTAGAAAGTGCTGTCAAAAACAGCAAGAACTACGTGTATTTCAGATCTTGATGCTTTTAAAAGTGTTCTACATCCATGATATTAAATTTGGCTGTCTTGTTCCTATTTTTTTTATCTCCCACAAGTTAACATTTGCCTTAGCCACTTTAAAAAACAGATGAAAAGGTTTCAAATTTGATGTAGGAGACAGCGTTTGCATGCAGCAGACATGTTTGAGTAATTCCTGTCATCATTCTAATTTCATTGGAGCAATTTTCAAGTGAATATTAAAAGAAATTTGCAGTCAATTGTTTTTTCCTCTGCTACATTGTGTATTTCTTAACTCATAAAGACTTTCACCACCTCTTAACCAATCAAATACAAAACAAGCAAAAACCATTTAACCCTTAAACTTCCAGGAGTGACCAAGACAGAATTTCTCCTTGCAATATCACTGAATACAATATCAAGCAGACAAGGGACGAGAATAAAGAAAAATATCAATGAGGGGATTATTACTTGATCCAACATCAAAATCTTGCAATATCAATACAATATCAAGGAGACAAGTGATGAGATTAAAGAAAAATATCTATTTGGAGATAATTAGTTGGTCCAATACTAAATTCTCTAATTTAACATTATAAGAATTGTATGGCAGACAGAAAGGGGAATTGCTAATGTGATCTGGGATAAAAAGGATTAAGACTTGTTAGTCTCCCACTTATATCTTGCTTTTCAGGCAGTCTGATAATTTTTGCTTTGAATTTCTGCTGTTGCTGAGATGTTTCTTTATATTTTGGTTTGTTTTTGTTTTTGTTTTATGTGACAGTCTGGTGAAAAGTACTCCAAATCTTTGTACTGAGACTTAATCAAACATGTTGTACCTTTTGGCAAGCTTGAATGACTTGATGGCCAGAAAGCGCTGTACAGCTGTCTGACTGACTGTCCAAACTGGCATGGCAGTAAATGCACCACCAATAGTCAGTGTCCAAAAAGTGTTACGAACCTTGGGATCTGGGTTGAAGCTAATGGATATAACCACATGAAATCAAATAAACATCGGGTGCAATTCTTTTTTTAACATGTAATATTTTTGTATTTGTATGGCTCTCCTCTTGACACAACACGGTAAAAGTTTCAAAATTCTAGAGGACCAGAGATATTGCTTAAAATTTGGTATAATGGTCAAATATTGACAATGGTTATTGGATAAAAATAATGGTGAAAATTAAGGAGATATACAATATTTATTTTTTCACAGTCAAGGTGATGACTGTTGTTAATGTTACTATGGTGTGCATTGACCACAATTATAACTTATATTATTAAATGATTATAAATAGATGGCTGGATATTGACCAAGTTCTCTTTTTTCATTTTTATGAGCCAAGACAAAGTGAAGGCCCATAAAATTCCAAGAAAAGAAAAAAAAACAGTGGAAGGATGTTATCCTGCAATTCTGACTGAAGAAGATTGGTCAATTAAGGATTTGTTATATAGAAATGAGATTTTTCTTTAACAAGAATCAAGAATGGTACGTTTATTTCTGACATGCTGGGAAAGAAAGCCAACTGTGATGCGGCACATCTGCCACTTTTTGCAACTCCATTGCCAAAAATTTCGAACTTTGTAAGACTACTTTCTTGTGTGAGAGTGAAGGGCAAAATGAGAGAGCATTAAATGGGTAGCTGAGCAGGCTAGATGCAGGGCCCAGTCAGAAAACGGGATTTGCTTCATCTTGCCCACAGGCGTTGCTAGCAATGTAATAGATAAGATTATCTCACTTACTCAAAGAAGTTAAGGCGATCAAAATCTTTGTTGATTTTCCATACTTGATCAAAGCCTCCAACTTCATTGCTTCCCACTATCACCACAGTGATTAGACCTGCGACCATGATCATGGACTGAAAAACATCTGTCCAAATCACAGCCTTGAGGCCTCCCTGAAATCAGAATATTTAAAAACTCAGCAATACTGTTTAATTAGTTTGAGTGTGAGGGTGCATTTATGGAGATACGAAGAAAATGCGAAGTTAAGAGGGAGAAATTAAGGCCTTTTGAATGCATTCAAAAATCTTAAAGTTCTTCATGTTTTGATGAACACAAAGCTGCTGCATGAACCCACTGTTTGAAGACATTTTTAATTGCAGCAATTAATAGATTTATAAACAGAAATTCCATCTGCTTTGCTTCAGTGCATGCACACATATCATTGGGATGCACAATGGAAATGTGAAGCACTCATGCAACTGAATTTGATTACAGAAATGTACAAGCTATTGACAGCTGTTGTCATGTGTTTTTATAGGTGAGGGGAGTGTACTCTTGGAACCTTTATTTCTCCTTACAATATTTCCCTGAATCACACATTAAGGTCATGAGAAAAAAGGCTGAAGGGCTGTTTATAAATGTTGATCATGACTCAATTAAAGGTTTTGATGAACTTAATGCAAATCATCTTCAGATGACCTGACTCCATGTTACTCACTAGGCTAGTATAGAATGTGCACACAATTCCAGTTGTGAGAATGGATGCAGAGAGTGGAATTCCAGCAACTGAAAACAAAAAGTAAATTTACATTTCACAAGTCATTAGTGATGAAAAATTAAAACAAAAAATAGCACATGTGGCATCCTACGCGGTGAAAGGTTCTGCTCAGCAGTGGTCTAATTAACAATTATTCCACGAGTGCGCATTGGATATGAGATGATAGATAGCCAACGAGGCACATAGCGCTGAGTTGGCTATAATCATCTCATATCCAACAAGCGTGAGTGGAATAATTGTTTTATTAAAAACGCCTCCAAGAAATTATTATTTTGTATGAAGAAACTGGATTTTTTTAGCTCCCTCTTGATTCTAAGCTGACGGGTACGCTTACCATATTTGTAGATTATGGTATATTGGCTGATATACCATAATGGCTAAGCCAATAAAAAGTCTTGAATTGCATTATACAATGATCCAGTTTTTAATAAAAAAAATTATTCATTTGGAGGCTTAAGCCATGCCAAGGTCTACATGTCACTCGTGATTCTCTGAAGTAACAGCTGTATATAGTAATAAGAATTTAGTGTAATAATTATCCAGGTCACACCCAGTCACTGATGCATGTATGTTTTCTCATCACCTGTTTTGCTGGATGATGCACTGATATTGTTATGGGACGTTACTTGTTATTCAGCTCTGTGAGTTTACAGTTGTATTATATCTTACCAGCCTCCAAAGCCAGGGAAGGTGCATACAGAACAACAAACAAATACAGGGTCTGCAAAATAAAACAGTTGGCAGAGTCGAATAAAATTCTGGTATTAATATAATTTAAGAAAACCCTATACCAGCCTTTTAATGAAAGAATATATGTATATTTTCCAAGGTCACCGTTCTCTATGATAGACTACGAGGATGGCAAAGAGTTTATATGTCACTCGTGATTAAGACCGAAATTCATACACTGTACGTTACGCGTGAAATTAACAAAAGTTGAATTGTGATTTGTTTTAAGTTGTGATTTGAGGTTTGCTCTTCTTAATTCGTGTGCGTGAAATACTGTTTAAATGACGTGAATTTTTCAAAAATTCGTGCGCGAAACAGGATCAGGGCCACCCACCCCCCTCTCTCATTGCCACCCTCTCTGTTATTTTATCTATCAGTGAGCAAAAATATTTAAATACTAAATCATGCTGTCAACCTTCAGATGTGTTTATTCAAGCAGCTTTCGAATAACAAAATGAACTGGGGATAAAATATTTTTTACTTTGCACTTTTATCAGTCTTTTCAGATATAAGTATGTTTCTATATTTTCCTAGCATAGCGTTTAACATTGTTCCAAACAGAAATTAATCCAAAATATTTACTTTTAGCTCAGAAAAGTGTACGATATTTCGCTCGCAATCAATATCGACAGTTATTCACGAGGAAGTAATATATTGTTACTTACGTATTCCAGAATAAAAAAAAAGCAACCGACCATTCGAACTCCAACGGAGAAACGCCGTTCCAAATACTGAAAAAAAAAGTTGATTGTTAGAAAAGACCGAAAACCACCTTTTTTTTTAACCGAGGGTGAAGCGGACAACAGAAAACATTTCGTTTTCTCTTGGATGCTCAGGTCCTCCTTTCAAGCTCGGTGGATAAGAAGAAAACGATAAATGATAAACACTTAGAGGATATGCGCCCTGAAAGAACAAATATTTCCTTCAACTGTAAACAGAATCGGCTTTCGAGAAGTTTTGGTCAGACACGAAGAAGTTCGGTAGGAGGAGGGGGGGGGGTATGAATTTCATGAGTTGCCGTTTAGGAGTGCTCAGGTCTTACAATTTACCCCTTCAAGTCTTTTCAGGTCAGGCGCGATTAAACCTTTGTCCTAGTTAGAGTTACTCATATTTTCCATCCGTAAGTAGCCTTACCAGTTCTTTCTAGGTAAATCATCGCTTTTTCGTTTAGTTTTGTTGTTTAAAACACAACGAATATATGAAATTCATATATCTGAATTTTATATATTCGTTGTGTTTGATTTATCATCTTGGGGTTTATGTCGAATTAATTTGATGACCTGCTTCCAAACACGTTTTGTTGTTTTGTTTTGTATTTTTTTTTTTTTACCTACTAAGTAATATCTTGTGGCATGCCTCGAGCTGATCGATAAGACATGCCGCTGAGGTTTGTAACTTTCGTAAATTCTTGTACGTGTCATTACGGACAAGTGCCTTTCCTTTGATGCTTTTCAGATCTAAAGCGAGACAAAATGAAACCAAGTCTATCATGCGTGACGAAATCAGGAGGTATCGGCTCCCGCCAGCTGTTCGCCGCCGCTTTTTGTTTCATACAGAACACATAATATTCAATCTGCCCCTGTTGTTGTTGACCTCCGGTTTCGAGCTCCCCCCGGCAGCCTGCCGGTCGTCAGAATAAACAAAAGAGCATCGCATGCTTTAAGCTTAATATAAAGAGCTTGTTAATCATTACGAAGGGGCGGAAAATAGGTGCAATTTTTGGACACAAAGCCTCTTTTGAATACGGAATAAAAGTCGTCCTGGAGTAATGCAATAAGAACGGTGTTAAAAAAAAGGAGTCTTACCTCATTAGCGCACGTTATCTTCACTCGTCTGAACATGGGTACAAATATAATGGCCATCGTGCCGCAGATGATGGGGTAGGATAGAATCAGCACATAATACTGAGCTCCATAGGTGTAAATCTCCGATGGAACTCCTAGCAAAGTGATAGCTGAGAGGTATGAAACCAGAAGAGAAATTGCCACCGGCAAAGCACCCATTTTACGGTTCGCCAGAAGATATTCAGCTGTTGTTTTTTGTTTTCCACCCGGTCCACAGCCATACCAAATTCCGATCAGCGCCGAGATGAGCAACATGATGGAGAAGACAACATAATCGACGACACTAAACGTATCGTTTCCTACAGCCATGGCTCCGATTCCAGCTGCAAATGGCTAGCAGTGTAAGCTTGCGGCAATTACAGTACAGAACCGAGCTATTGTGCAGAGGAACTAACAGTCAACCGTAATCGAATGGACTTAAACGGGATCAATATGCTAATATAGGTCGCAAAGACAATGAAAATCACTTCGCTTCAGTGCGTTGAATTTGCATGAGATACTGTTGCCCAAGAATCGATACGCGACTGAATCCCGGCCGGCGACCGGAAACTACTACCGTATTCATGGGCGTTTAAGTATGTAATCTTGATCTAATCATTGGTTGTTTCCAAAAAGATTAGATATCAATTGATTTTTGAGCTTGCTAACATGTCAAATCACGCGATTTCACGTGAACTTCGATCAAGAGCTATAGCTGAACATGTGATCACTTGTATTTGTCTAGACAACAATTGTTTTTAATTATGAATTTCTATTTTCATTATCGAATGAGATTTTGAAACATATGCATTTTCATGCTTTAACGCGCTGACCTAAAATTGCTCGGGTATGATGTGTAATTGTTTTCATCATTTGACCGCACGACAGGGGAGGGAGAGTCGCGGCATGCTAACTCCGCCAGCTATATGTCCTCCAAAAAAGAAAAAAATTTCAAATTGGACAGTCTTGGCAAATTGATTATCTGTGTGATCCATTGGCACCTTAATTCAATGTTGTAGCTGTCTTGGATCCAACAACGATCGAATGGCCGTTTTAAAAGCACCATTTGTTCAAAATTTACGAAGATGATTGACTTCTGGCTATAAGTAACTGCGTGGTTTCCACCTTGCGATATTTTTAGGAGCACGTTTCCTAAACTTATTGTGCTTAGACGTGACTGCGAACAAAATACAATCAAGTAGCACTTGAAATAGAAATAGAAATTTGAATTATTTGTGGTTGCAAAGACATTGCTTTTATTTTCATTGGAAAGCATTCGAGTGCGACACATACTTTCCGAACAAATAAAATAGAACGTGCTAAGGGAAGTTTCGTAAAAACTGCTCGAGATTGACGCGTCAACTTGCATTTTAAACTTGTGGGTGGTTGCTAGCTACGGAAAGAAGCAGTCATGAGCGAGACTGACTTCGCTCATGTGCGTCAGTTTGGATTGCTGGTTGAGGTTCAATCGGGTGGGTGCCTTGCTTTGTGCACAAATTAACCCTACATATGCAAAGATTGTTCAAGTATGACGCGTTTACGTGTGGAAAATCACACTATATCTTTAAACTCACAAACACTAATCTTGATGTGCTCTACATTCCATACGAAGCGTTCGGGAGAGCTTGGAAGAGGCCATATTGCTGGAATGCGTTTCACATTGCTTCGAGTGAAACATACCGTAATATGAGATTTCTCGATTGGAATTTGGAGGCACCATAAATAGGTAGCGAGTTTTGTCGATTTCAAATGTAGATATCTCAAGAACAAACCCTTGCGCGCGCTGTTTCAGGTGAACTACTAACGCCAATTCACGCTGGCCAAACTGAGAGGCTATGTCATAGGCTAGGAGAATAGGCTGTTTTACTGTGAAATGTTCAGCAGGCAACCGTGGACGATACTCCTACTCTTGTACGTTGGATCAGCGATGATCTGATCGGCCCAAAATAACGAATATGAAATATAAATATAGAGGCAAGACCGATACAACGTAGATAACGTGGTCAATATTTACGTTATCAACTCAGTTGATAAAATCAAAGTTCTTTTGTTATACTCACGAGTCCCCCACCGACGTAGCACCACAGTTTCCCCCTCCCCTTTTATCAGAAAATCAGTCCAATCATTTCTAACACCTTTCTCCCCCTGAAATGTTTCCCATGGTAATGTTAATGGAAAATAACTCAAAGCTTTCTTTTGGAAAGGTCTCTCTCCGAAAAATTTTCCGGAGCCGGTGTCATTATATGTATGATCGAAATGCATTTTCCAAGGCAAGTAAGCTTAAATGCGACTTAAATGTTTCTTTTGCGGTTGTTACTTTGTTTACTCGCACAACAATACGATTTACCAATGGTATCACAGAATAGGCCATTGTAAAAACGTGAGAGGACTGGGAAAGAGTGTGGTTGTTTTCCGTTTGTTTGAAAAACTGAGATATTCAAATGAAAGATCAACTAAATTTGAGAGTCTTAAGCAAGAATAGAAGTATTTAGAAGAGGAAAATGACAAAATGACAGCTTTTCAAATATCACCTAAAATAGAGAATTTGTATGGATGGATTGGGTATACAGGGCAAACACTTTTAAGGGTTTGTATGGAATTTTTGCAACTTTTGCAAGGCTCCAATTTGGACACTTTTCCGCTGAAAACTCTCAAACTTGGCTGGGTAGCTTTTCATTCAGTAACATTTCAGTTGAAATGTTTAGATATTCAACGTAATCCTTAATCAATATAAGAAACTCGTCCCAGTCCTCTCACGTTTCTGCAATGGCCTATGGTGTCAATCAAACTTCACCTATTTTGATTCGTCGAGACATTTACCTGTTTACAGTTAAGTTAGTTAGAGTCCTTTCTAGTCTCAATCATTTGGATGTGGTGCTCACATGCAAACGTGAAGGGATAACAACGTTGAATTAAGAAAGATTCCAACCTCAGTTGCCATGGAGCAGCGGTATTTACCGGCGAATTCTCATTTTCTCAGCCCAGGAACGGCAGAAAATAGCAAGTCACCTAGCAATGGTGGACTGGTGGCTCGGGTAGAAAACGATTGGGATGTGTGGCTGCCTATGCTGCCTCAAGTGAACGAATTTCCATGGACACTACAAGACATTTCAAAAGTTCTTCGCCTCGGTAGAACTCGGGAACATTTTCGCGCCATTTCTCCACAGGCCGTGGAACGCGTGTCGTTTCTGTTACAGCGACCTCTACTGCGAATTGTACGGGAAGCGAAACGGATTTCCGTGCGGTATTCGAAATGTTCCAAGCACGAGATCCAAACGAGTATTCGCTTGGTTCTTTCGCTGTCCATGGCTAGGACGTGTATGACCCTTGCATCCAAAGCATTTTCTCTGTACTCTATGTCCAGTGATAGATTTCGCAGATGTAAGAGAGCCCGCTGCGGATTGATTCTTCCAGTGGGTAAAATGTTTCGCTGGCTGGTCAACATGAAAGTGGCCGCTTGTATCTATGACGCGGCAGCAATTTACCTGAGCGCTACTTTAGAATACATCGCTGAGGAGCTTGTCTATAGAGCTGTCAACAATCTGGGTAATCTTTGTTATCTGCTTATTAATCATGCTAAATGCACAGTAGACATGATAATTATGTTTACTCATGCTGCTTTTGATGGTAAACTTTAAACACGTCCACCCTGACCGTTTGTGTTACTAAATGTAACTTTTATGCCTTCACGGCATCTGTCCCACACGTACGGTGAACAAAACGAAAATGAATATTGATTCTCGCGAACTACCCCAAAGTGCACGAGTTTGTAAACCAGTAACTGCAATGTCGGTCAGAACCTGCAAACTAGCATTTTGCATCGGCAAAGACTTGAAAACTATTTCGATAAGCGGTTCATATTCTCCATCTCGTGGAGATAATTTGTCTGGCTCACAGTGTGTTCTATACCTGATACTGTAGTGCTTTACAGCAGTATTAGAGAAGTGTTGAAGGGGACCGGAGGAGTAAGAAATGAGAAAGACAATTTAAGGTGCTGTGTTTGCTAAAAGGTAAAAAGCCCGATTTTGTCACTCACACGAGATTATTTCTCTTTTTACCAGTCGTGTTCTCGCGTGGACAGCATAAACTATCAGCCGCCTGGTTAGCTCAATTGGGAGAGCGCCGGACTGCTGTGCGGGAGGTCGAGAGTTCAATACCGGCCGGACCAACACTCAGGGTCTTAAAATTAATTGAGAAGAATATGCTTCCTTTCTTTAACATCAAGAAATGGTTAGATATTCTAGTCTTCTCGGATAGGGACGAATAAATGGAGGTCCCGTCTCCTGCAGGGTTGGGGTAGGAGACGTTAATTTCCCACGCACGAGATTACTGTGTGATGGATGTCCTCCCTGGGGTGGGTTGGGTGGGTAGGTGAAATCGCTATGGACTAAACACGGCTGCCAGAGGCGCCTGTCTGATTTCAACCTCAAAATTGTAACTAAACACGTATGTTGTTTAGAGAAATAGAGATCTTTACCTTTACCTTTACATTTGTAACCACATGCGTTAAAAACTCCACTTTGTCACTGTTGTGCAGTTGTTCGATAGACCATAGCTGTGCTAAAGATTTGTGTGGTGGGAAAAATATATTATGCCTTAGCTAAAAAAGGGGGGGGGGGGGGTCGGGGGAGGAAATTTCATACTTTGTCTTTAAAAGAATAATTTTAGTTGAAGTCGAATGAGGAAAAAAGCGTCATTGATATATAATTATGAAATTGAAGAATCTTTGATAAATCTAAAGGGTTTGTCTATGTGTACTGGTTTGTTTACGCTTGTGCATTGTGGTATAAAACAGAAAAGATATCACTGCAGTTTATTCCAAAGCTTCTTTGTTTAATATTTGTGGTCAACCCCCCTAACGAGCTTTTTAATAACCTAGACATGTTCCGTGGATTTAGATTTCTTTTAGGGAAATAGTTGATCTGGTTAGCAGTTGAGCTTGCATATTGCCCTCTTTGAGCATAGGAATGTTGTGACTTATGAATACAGGGGTAGGACTGATAATTTGGCTACAAAGATTATTACTGTAAGATTATTTATTGGAAATGTGGCCACAAAATTATGTATGCAGACTATACAATGAATTTGGCATTTTACATAACTTTTACACGACAATGCAAAATGATGCGTGACTTTACTCGTAAATGATGAAAGTATTTTACAAGAACGATTTATTGCAGAGTCGGTACTGTGTGTGTTAAAAAATGTATGATAAAAGAAATGTATAAAAAAATATTTTAAGGCTTGGAAAGTTTTTTATTTTCAGTTTTCCTAAATGTGACATCCTTTTATCTAACGGCCTTTGTAAAGTGAGTTTTCGAAGGGCGCTGTGTACGTCTTCGAGACGTTACGTTGTGATAATTTGAGTCAGTTGTTGTAACTTGAAGAAAATCCATGATGCTTGTTTGGCATCCTGTTAGTTGAAAAATGCCAAAACGGATAGGTCAAGATGGCTGGTTACTGGCACCGTTCCTTTTCCTTTTGCTTTTTTATGAACCGAGACGAAGTCGAGGACCATAAGAATACATAAAAAAGGAACTATGGGGTTCAGTAAAGGATGGAGGCTATTATTATAAGCTAAATTTTTCAGGGAGAGTACGTCATGAAACTCAGGATTAGGGATTGTAATTTACTCTATCAATTGATCGCTTTTGTTTCAGAGGGTATTGACCAAGTTACTCCTGAAGTGCTCGAAGAGTGGATCAATGCTGATGGTGATGTATGGGGAATGTTCCAGCCATACTATCATCTTCTTTCCGGTAGAACAGCTTTTGGTATCACAGATTCTATCGAGATGTACGCAGCTCCTAAGAAAGGTATTTGATTGTTTTGACTCTATTTGTTTGCGGTAGTTACCCAAAACAGTTCCGTTTTGTTCACCCAGTAAGAAAAGACCCTCGGAAAATTTTCAGATTTTCGCGGATTACAGAGGTTTGATACCAATAGATTTTCATAGGTGTTGTTTTGTTATCCCAGCCCCAAGCAGCCCCAAGACAGGTTCTCCAAGGCGAATGGGATTGGACAAATGTTTGACGACCACCTGTGTCACATCTGTGGCTGAATTGACGGAGCTGGTACAACAGGCCCGACAGCGTTTCACCGATTCGTACCAAAGCAAAGATAACAAGTTGATGTCTCAAGTGGACTGGGCAACAAATGCACTGCACGCTCTGTTTTATTTCATGAAGTGTTCCCATCAAATTGACGAGGACATTTCGGATATTCTGGCAGCCACGAGACGGTAAATCTGTCCCCTGAATTTGACCGACTATAAATGACTGATATAAGGCAATGAATGACTTGCTGATCGAATGACAAATGAATGGTTGATTGACTATCTGACGGAATGTTAACTTGACTTATTGACGTATTTGCTAACTGACTTACTGACCGATTAGTTGAGTCCCCAGCTGAGTAATGGTTATTTATGCCAACAGACTTCCTGACTATCGGATGTATGTATGAATGGTTGGTCAGACAGGCAAACGGTCAGGCAATAGAATGCACGACAGACTGACTAGTTGACCACTTGACAACAAGACTGAATTAGTGACTGTTCAATAAGCGGTATCATCTTCCCTTTGCAGTGCACACTCCCATCTTCCCCCGCTGGTTGAGTGGCTGAGAGTAGCGGGCCTGTATGTCGATCACCGCGGTAGTGCTATAGTCGATGATGATGACGTGAGACAAGCAGCTAGATTGCTGATGCCTTTTAATGATTGTGAGCCACGAGCCTTGTGGTACGCCTCCTATTATTATTATTAGTATTATTATTATTATTATTATTATTTACATCTTTTATCAATTTCGAAACAATATTAACTTCAAGAAAGCGATCACGAGGAAGGATTAAATGGTAACGACAAGCGAAGAAGAATGCTGATTGATTTCCAAAGGTCACTCTTAAAAGGTGGAAACTGAAAGTTAACATCGAGGTAACAATAGATTGCTCTGGATTTTTTACTAAGTCTTGACACTACGATGCAAGAATTTATAGGAAAACTTAGGAGAATGGGATGAAAAGTATTGGCTAATTGTAACTTGACTAAAACGTGGGCATTTTATAAATTAATGGCAGAAGAATCGTCACCTTCCTTTTGTATGGCTACATTTGAGAAAAACGATACACGCACAGCACTATTATTCCAACCTCGCGGCTTGTAATGCCTGCAAAGCATGACAATGTCTTGTTATCTCACTTTTTCATCTTATTTTCGTGGTTCACTTAGTCACCGATACACAGTTAAGCACCAATTTAAATGCTTCATACAAAGCTTTATCTGATTACTATTGTTTGTTCAGCCCCACAGATTTGTTGACTGTTTCTAGTTCCCTGTCCCCCTCGGCCGCAACCGTCAGCTTTCAACATGACCTGGGCCTGCGCCTTCTTTTAAGCGGAAGAGTCGACGTAATACCGCAAGCTCTTGTTATGTTAGGACCTGAGAAAATCAACGCTATCAATTTAGAGGTACATGGCAAGGGTGAATAACTACTCTTTCTTATTTCTTCGGCTGTAAGTTCGTACATGACACGCTTTCACTCTTTAAAATTGCGAGGTTCAGCAGTGCTGATATTCTGTGTGAGGCGAAGGCAAAAGAGGGCTGACAAATTATATCCCTGGTCTTTGAATAGGGCGATACCACTGATAATCTCGAAAGTAATCCATGCAGAAATTTTTTTCGGTTTTGCTATCAACGGTACGCTCCGTGATTGGTTGAAGCCTGGGACACCAGCTCAGCCAATCAAAAGCAAAGCTAAACCGATTGCGACCCGATTGTTAACATTTTTACGCGCTCGAGGTTTTGCTTACACTTCGAGTATTGATGTTTTTCTTTTTTAAGATAGCATCCCGTTCGCTCGCCTTTCTTGATTGTGAGTGCTGTGAGTTTGGTTTCACAACAAACAAGTCATTAATGATTCAACGAAACATGTATCTATGTTTTTCTTTATCTAACCAGGGAATGACGCCGCTGATGTACGCATGCGCTTACGGTAACGAGGTTCTTGTGAAGATGCTGATAGAATACCACGCGTTACTAGACACTCAGGTGTGACTTGTTGAATATTTGCTCAAGATGTGTTTGTTCCTTTTCGTTGGCGAATGAAGCAAGAAGCTTTTTCATAGTGAGAATAGACAGTGAATGGTAGGAAGTGGTTTGGGAGCTTGGATCACTGAAACTCACGAGAAACTAAAATTCTTGAAAAACTATTTCAGTGATTCTTTTAGAGACATTGATTCTTTTGAGGCTATATTATAATATATGTTTTATTCTATATATTTTATTTATATTTGTTTTTAATAGTTGCTTTGTTAGGCTAGTTCCAATTTTAATTCTGGACTTGCATGTATTACTTACTAATCCTTAGTTGTGAGGGCCACTGGTTTGTCAGCGTAAGCTGTTATGTGTACACCCTCTTTAAATAAAATTAACTTACTTACTTATTGTTATCTGACGCAGTCATTGAAATGATATTTTTACAATAACTGTGGAAACTCTCGAGGGCTCTTGGTCGATAGGCATGATCACTAACCCTTTACACCCATGCATCATCATGCGTATTCTCCATACTTTTTAGGACATTTTTTAAAGTGCTGACAAGGAGAATTTGTTTAATAATCAAGAGCTTCTTTTGTTGGCGATTATTTCCCCTGTACTCGTGACCTTAATGTGCTATTTCAGAGGTGATGTTGTAAAAAGAAACTATTCACTTTAAAGGATGTTAATGGGTTTAGGTCGCAGACAACGTAATGAGGTGAAATGACGGCGCGCGAGGGTGGGCTAACAATATGTAGGTCATGTCCGCAACATGTACAGAGCTAAAATATATTATTTTTTTCCCTTTCACCCGCAAGGTTCCAAATAACAAACAGATCTATCCACTTGTAAACTTGGAGCTCATCTCCTGGACTGCTCTGTCTTTTGCGGCTATAAAAGGTCACGTAAACGTGTGTCAGGTGAGATGTCAATGTCATGTTAGGAAAAAAAATTGCTGACGGCGCAAGTGAGGGTGGAGGTTACCTCCTCTCATTCCAGCTACTGACCTAAAATGTATTAGATCCTTCCGCGGTGTTAGCCTTAGAGCGAAAGATGAGGTTTCGCTCGGACTCCCTCTCTCTTGTGCTTCGCACTTTTTTTTATCCTCTCACATTCTCGCTCCCAGTTCGGTTTTGGCAGTTGGTCAAGTCTGATTGTCCTCTTCGTGCGCCTATAGTACACGAGGCCTCAGCCGAAAAGCGCCAATGATTTTTGTCGGTTGCCAGTCGGGCAAACTGCCACCATGTTCTCCTTTAAGTCTCCCTGGGGCCGCCTTTTAAATCTGTTACCCAATCTTTCACTCCGCCACTGAATTCAAGACAAAACGTTATCCCTTGATCATCATTAGCTATTGTTAGACGCTGGAGCAAATCCAAACGGAGCTATGAGTCATGGAAGAGAACACCAAGTGGAGACATCATTACAATTGGCCGCCGCAACAGGTAACGCATCTGGCGTCATGTTACGTGCTTATATTTTGAGCTCGTGCGTGGTTAGAATCGTTCTTGTGTGATAATCCGCGGATGTATTGGCGGCCTGGTTGATGTGACAGACTGAAATCTTGCCGATACTTCAGAGAAATTAACCGATTTTCGTGTTGTTTTATTGTTCGACACTCGAACGGAAATTTCGTATCTCCTCGCGGCAATGCAATATCCTCTATCTTTAACAAATGGTAAACACCACAGCGTACATTATTGAGTTATGGATGCACGCGGGAGGTTGCTAAGCCCGAAAGAAGCGTAAGGGTCGCTCGAGGCGATAGCCGAGAGCGACTCTAGCTTCTTGAAATATTGTTCGACACTCGAACGGAAATTTCGTATCTCCGCGCGGCAAAGGAACATCCTCTATCTTTTAGGAGTCAATGGGTTAATTTTCCAAGGCATAGAAAATAGTTACTTTAATTCCTGATGAAACCTATGGCCTTGAATAATTCGTCAGTTTTAGAGGAGACCCTTAACCAGAATGGTGGTTGAAAATTAAACTACTCAGAAAATCTAAACCAGAAAGAAATAAAGCGCTCTTGCAAGCAAAGAAAAAGATCTTCGTTGGTGGACTGCAAGCTTAAGAAATTGCAGAAAAGAATCTTGGTACTATTCAGGTTTCGACGGGGCTTGAATTTTTTTCAGGCTTCTTTTCTGAAATTGTTTAAAATACAGTCGCCTGCAAGGAAAATTTTTTAGCTGATGTGACTGACTGAAAGTTGATGTTTATTTTCATCAGCAGGTCAAATGAAATTCATTTCGTTAAATATAGTGATAAGCTCTCTTCCTTTGGTAATCGCACAAAGTTTGATGTAGCCACTTGATCCTTAGGCAGGAAAATGAAATTTTCAACTGGAAGAATATTAGACGCTGATATATGCATAGTTATAAGTTGTGAGGATATTGACCAGGTTGAAACTTTCAGTACCTATACGAATAAGACCAATTTCAGGCGCAATTTTGGGGAAGGTCAGTCTGTTCCTTTGTTCGTGTTTTTGTTTAAAGTATTGCTTCTATTTTCTCAAATCACTTGAGTCTAAAAGTGGCTTGACTCCGCCCCAGGTAATTACGAAATCGTCTCCATGCTCCTGAGGAAAACTGCAGATCCCTATGTCAGCGTTAACACGTGTTCTTTCAGCCCAGGATCGCGGGGGTTTGGAAACGCATTTGCTGCTGCGGCTGCGCATGGGCACAAAAACATCCTGCGGAAACTACTGGAGGAGCCTGGTCCACGACAGGAAAACGAAATGTTGTCACTTACAGAAATTCTTTCCGAGGGTTAGTATATAAACGATTTTATTTTAAGCTTTAAGGAAGAAGCACTTGGCATTCGTTTCGTTAAAAAATGGCCGAGCGCTGAAAATAGTACATTTTCCGGTGGACGCAATATCAGTAAAAGAGGCGAAGCCAGTATAAACCTGGCATTTATTTCGTAAAAAAAGTCGAGTGCTAAAAAAGATGATACATCTCCAGTGGACGCAACATGAAAGAGGCGAAACTAGTACTTCGATTTCGAGCTAAACTGGCAAGGTTCCTGGGAAAAGAGCGAGGAAAACAAATCAGTTTGTCTTTTAAACTGTGTTACTATGATGTTCTGAACTCCGTTTATCGATCTATTTATTTTTCTTTTTTGCATCGACTCAGGTTCCCTCCTAGATGAAGGAAACGAAATGAAATTAACAAAGAAAAGAAGCAAGGCTCTTGAGGTATGTGTCTTCGTGAAATGTTGACAGAAAAGCTGGCTTTTACCAATTTGTATAAGGAATATAATTTAAGGAAATACAACTGATAAAATTAATGAGGAAACTTATGATATAAATAAGTAGTCTTTCCTTTTGCTGGTGAAAATCAAAACTTTATGTCGAGTGTGAAACAAGAAAGGTGGTGGGGGCTAAGGAAGATGGTGCCACAGGATTCCAGGTAGATGTCATAATTTGAACTCACTAATCCTTACAAACCCTCTTAACACGAAGACTCATTTCATCCACACACTGACAGTTCTTGTTGTATTTCCTTTGGTTCTGACAAGGAGAATGATTTTGTGTGATAGTCAGAAGCTTGTTGGGTGTATGATCACTTTCAGTTTATTCTCATGACCTCTATGTTTGATTGGTAGATGAGAGGCTGTGGGGAGGAATTAGAAGCCAGAGTCACTCTTTGTGATTAGAGGGTGATTTGCGCAAATTGCACTAAGAATTTCAAATTATACCTCAAATAAATAACTTTTTGTGTAGCTGTTCCGTTTTGGCGCCAAAATGCAGTCGCAAAGAGTCTGGGGACGAATTAGCCTTCTTATATTTAAATAGACGCAACGAATTCAAATACTTGTCTAACAATCAACCAAACACATCCGCTAAAAGAACATGTGAAGAGCTGTATAAAGATGTACGGATTACCCAACAGAATTGTAAGTAACATTTCGGTGCGAATATTTCAGCCCTTCAAGTGTAAGTACATATTTAAAACGCAATTCATTCATTTGCTTTGCAGTTTGACTGTTGCCGATGTTACCTTTGGCAACCAATCCAGAAATAAAACAGTTATCTGTGCATCTCTAGCCTTCACATTTAAGTAACACTTCGCTACGTAAGCGTGAATCAGAGGGCTTAAATGCGAAACCCTTCTTTCTATATCAAATAGTTCAATTGCGCATGTTTCGCTCTTTTCAGGAGGCTGTGTACCACAGCTGTGAGCATGGATTCCTTGACATCGCAATGGAGTTAAGAAGTTTGGGTAAGAATGAATTACGTGTTCATGCATTACCTCTGGAGTGTATTTTGTCAGGGTGTCGTAAAAGCATAAAATAATTTTCTCAAAGGCCAAAGAGATGTTGCGATACATAATGAAATGTTGGGAATAGAAATTTAGCAGCGGACAACTCCACGAGGTGTCTTTTCTTGTCTGCTGTTTCCAGTTCGTTGTATTTTGGAATGTTGTTGTTTTCGGAGGGAGGAAAACCTGAGAGCCTGGAGAAAAATGCTCCAAGTAAAGGCGAGAATCAACAACAAACTCAAGTAAAGTTTACTAATCTTATTTTCCAACATGCGTTTTACTGTCATGTTTGTAACTGCCGTTGTTTGTGTGCTATTTCTTATCAAACTCAATTTGTATGTGACTCCAGTTCTGGGAATCGAACTAGGGCCACAGCGTTGGGAGGTGAGTGCTCACACCGCTGCGCCATACTCCTCCCCGGTCTCATATCTATAATACGAGAATATAATTGATTAAACCGATTTAGTTTGTATCTGATTGGCTAGAAGGATGCCGCGAGTTTACGGACCAATCACAGAGTGTAGAATTGCAGATTGGTCAGTCTATTGTCAAGTGCACACCTGTTGTAGCAAGACTTCTAAATCCCTATAAACAAATGTATTTTACTAAATCCATCTGCTTTATTTATTTTTCCTGCTCAGGTGTGCCATGGAACATTCATTGTTGGAGTCAAACTGTTGGTCACGCTTACGAACAAGGACAGAAGGCGTTCCTCAAATGTCTGTTGCGTGACTTTCAGTCAATGCCGACTAGTGAGTACGCTAGTAACATCTGTGAGGACGGACTTGGCATCCTGTTCAATATCTTGAAGGAATGCGAGGTAACATAAACAGTGAATCAGTGATCGAGAGACCTCATTACCTGGTGGCAAAACAATCGATATATTTTCATGCTTCTTGAAGAATATACATAGATACGTATGATGCACGATCCTCGCAGTAGAGAGCGCTATTTATGCAATAGCGCTAATCAGACCTGAAGAGAAAAATCAGGCCTGTACGGGACTCGAACCACTGACCTCTGCGATACTAGCGCAGCGCTCTACCAATATATTCATAAATTCATCGTATCTAATATAGATAGTCCTCATATTCTGGTTCTGTTTACTGTGGTTTCGTCTACAATGACAAGCTTATCACCCAGCTTAAATCGGTGGCACCGTTTTGATTTTAGGACCTTACTCTGTCGAAGGAACTTGCCTCAGTGCTCTCGTGTTGTTTTGGCCGTCAGCCTCTAAAGGAAATCAAGATACTTCCCATAACACAGACGTCCATCAGAATCGGTGAGAATCACATTCGTTTACATGGCCTTTAGAGTGCGTTTTTGCCTTCCGAGCAGGCCGTCATTAATATTATTAGCGCTTCGGCACCAGTGTTTTTTCAGCCGCGGGAAATTATGAGGGCGTGAGTCAGCAAGGATTCTAGCCCTACTAGCGCCAGACCCCTGGCAAACTCTCTCTCACTCGTCTCAAATCTACCCGTGGGTGTCTTGTAGCCCTAATTATGAGGGCGTGCTTCCAGGGCGTTTTAGATTGAGTCTCCTATAAACGAAACGAAGGGTAACTACAGTGTCCGATCAGAACAGAGGGCGAGACGAAATGAACCAGTGAGAACTCAAACTAACGCGCGCAGGCGGCTTTAGGCGCGGGAAAAAGCGAATGAAAAGTTGCTATTGACTTTACTTTTGAATCTGATAGGTTAATTAGGTGGTACGAGATATCTGAACCAATCATAGTGCTTATGGAGATAAACCAAATGTAATCCCGGATTGTTGTTATCTCTCTTTTAAGACTTGCTTCACAAGCACCTCAGCATTAAAATTTGTTTAGTTGTGTAAGAAGTTTAATCAGTGAAAAGAGATGTTATCCCGCAGTGAATAATAATAAAGGCATATTCGGCAAAAAGAATTCCGATTGCTCCCAGAAGGAGTCGAACCAACGACCTTCCGATACCAAGCTATATGGAAGGCGCGGGGGCCTCGTGGTAAGTGCGCTTGACTCTGGATCGAGTGGTTCGAGCCTTGGTATCGGCGAATTTAATGCCGGGGGGGTGGGTAACCTTGCGATGGACTTGCATCCCACCGGGAGTAGAAATGCTCCTAGTCGCTTTATGTTACTGAAACCGAAGTTAAGGGCCGGCCTGATGGGCCACTTGGCTCATAAACAGACTTAACCTACCTACCACTAAGTCACAGGATACTCGTGGAAGGCTAGACTGTTTAATTAGTTTTAAATTGCTTCAGGTTTGTTTCACTGATATGTTTTACACTTCTCATCAAGGTCCAGATTACATTAACAGCCCTGAGATGTCTGACGTCACGTTTATTGTTCAAGGACGACCGTTTTACGCTCATAAAATCATTCTGGCTACCGCCTCTAAGAAGTTT